GAAAAAATCAAGTGTTTTTTTTTGTGTGTAATAAACAATTTTTGATATATTGTTTAAGAAAGGTAAGAGTCATTTAGATAATACACATAAACGAGTCAGCTCACTTTGTGGTTGATATATATGTATTTTAATTTATAGTCTTAGAAGAATTCTGAGTATCTGTTTAGATTCAGTATCAGATTTTTTAACTTTTTTTTCAAGAAGTTTTGATTGCAAATTGAATCTAGATTGCAAATTGATTTATTTTTAGTTACTAGTTTGTTGTATAAATAAGGACCCCGATATGAATATAATAATAAATTTTTTTGATAAGCCAGTCAAGTGACCTTTTAACCAGCTATGTGTAAAGGTTCTGGGCCTCTCTATAAATCAAGATACACAAATAAAACAGACAAAAAAAAATTAATAACAACTAATTATTGCAAATATGCATCAATTTTGCAAAGACAATACTTTAAGTATGATTTATTTCTACGATTAAAATATGAAACGTTATAAAATATACAAAGACGTTAAATAGCTTTAGATCTATTAGTGGTAGATTAAGAGACTAAAAAAATTAATTTAACAAAAAAACATTAAATTTCATGTTTTTATTGAGTCATGGATATATATTTTATATAAGCCCAGGGTCATGGAAAGGATAAAAATGTGCTGGTGCAAAATTATTTTTGGGCCCCATTCCATATGATGATTATTTTACATTTACACAAGACATTTATAAAGCCTTTTGAGTTTAATTGAAAATTTAACTCAAAAGGCTATTTAAGCTAAATGAAATATTGTTAAACGTTAATTATTTACCGAATAGTGATAAATTGTATTTGAGTTTCGAATGCTAAACATTTGCAAAGTTATAAGACGAATAAATTCGGGTTAAACCGTAAAGTCATAAGAAACTAAATTATTTACGTTTGTTGTACATAGTACAACAAACGTAAACAGTAACATAATTTATAACAACAAATCATTATTATTAATACCAACCAGTGACTTTTCTGTCAGTAAACAATACACAAATTACAACAAATTTTAAGGCTACGTAATTATAAAATAAATAGTTTAACATTTGTTAACTAATTGTAAATGGCACAGAAACAATAAAATTTCTTAAAAACGTGGTTGCGGGATTAATATTCGGACAAATAAACAACTTAACGTCACCAAAACGGTACGCTTACAAAGTAAATGTATTTGCCACATAATTTCTTCAGCTTTTAACTTGTTTTTAATTTTTTAAATTATATTTTATTACCAGAATTTGATCTCTATATGACGTGTACAACTGCATTTTTGCAAGTTTTGTTTATAACCTCAATTGATAATAATTCAAAATCATGCAAAAAATTCTTTATGTAAATTGAAATCTAAAGAGTTGTGGATAAAAATGCACAATCCTCCACCTTTTTTTTTCAGTCTTTGAGTCACTTTCTTTGTATTGATATAATACGACTTTCGATTCGATCAAGATGACCGCCAAAATTTATATATTTAGCCGGTAGATATGCTATCTATAGATGACTGATGGACAGACAGCAGATGCACATCTAAATATTAGGACAAAATATAACAATTTTTGCGTCACGATGAGGAAGGAGGCGTGAACTTCCTGGTTAAATGCACTTTTGCGGTGCTCTGTAACAAGACCGCTAGGTCTTCTTTGGGGCACCTAAATATCAACAAAAAAAAAAATTTTTATCTAGCCTTTAATAGGTTATAGTCTATTATACAACAACAACAACAACAACAAAAACAACATCAACAACAACAACAACAACAACAAAACAACAACGACAACGACAACACCAAAAAAGCAATATATTTACCAGAAATGTTGACGTCTTGATAAGCATATTATAAATTACAAAAAATATATGTACAATATCTACATACTGAATGACTCATTTTTATATAGCATGACTAAATTGAGGCAGGGCCACCAGAGGGGGCCTTGTTTGTCCAGGGCGACAGATATTCAAGGGGCGCCAAATGAAATGTAGGTACCTAAAAAAAAATAAGGTCCTTCATATATAATATAGGGAAAATTTGATAAATAAGGGCGTCAATCAGGATTGCTATCCCAGGCGAGATACCTTATCAATAAGATTAACTTTGTTTTGCCATTTGTAGCATGATGTTTCAACTTTGTTAGTGTTGCTGCAACAATGTTTTTTTATAAATAAAATCGAATACAAAAAAATTAAATATTGAAAACCGAGCTAAATAAAAAGATAAATCATAGAAAAAGATAATGTAATGGACGTCCATTGGTATATTTTGTCATGTAATAGTTATTAAAATTTATTTTACCTCCTAATTATTGCAAAACAAATGATTTTGACTAAGATTTTACTTCGAGTGTACTACGTTGGGCACGTCCAAAAATTGTTATAAGTAAAGAAATTAATATCTTGCTTTTTTAACAAAATAAATAAAAATTTAAAAACGTTTTTTATTGTTTAATAAAGTAATAATGGGGACGTCCATTGATCTTTCTTTAAAATATTATTTATTTATTATTAATTTAACTTCTAGTTAGGAAATATATTTTTATATAAACTTGAAAAACCGCTCTAAACATGAAGCAATTATTATTTTGTTTATATAACTTAAATCCAATAATAAAACTTAAATGTAATTTACTTGACGGTTACTCTAACCAAAAATCCTATGGATTTTGAAACAAAAAAAAAAAAAAAGACAAAGCTTTGATAACTATAAACACTTTTTAACTTATGTGTTTTAATTTAATGTGGTTCAAATCTGATTTTTTTTTAAAAAAGGTTCTGATAAACGACCTGGTTTTAAATAGAGTTAGTTAGTAATGATAATTATAACATAATTTGGTTGCGTGGAAAAAATTAATAGTGAATTAGATGCTGTAATAGTGAATTAGATGCTTCTAGTGCAAATCTGAGTCAATTCTGAGTCAACTGTAGTTGGGAAGGTTGTTCCAAAATGATGCGCCTTGATTGGTAAAAAAAATTTTTTACCAGTCAAGGCGCATCAATTTTGATGATCTACTCTTCATCTGCACAAAAATCTGATTCTTCCAATTTTTTTCAAGTCTCTTTTATACGTCGTTCTTCTAGGGTTGTAAGATCTTGAGCCTGCATTATTTATCTACATTAAGACGCTTGTGTTACCTTTTTGTCCATTCTGCAATATATTTAATGTCAGCTTGTAACATGTTGAAATCTTTTTCCTCGAGTAGTTTTTTCTTCGATCATATTAGGGAAAGTAGCTTAGTATTATCAGCATAGAATTTACATCTCGATTTATTGAAAAATCGTTTATAAATATCGCAAACAGTGTTGCTGCTATCGCCTAACCTTGTGGCATGCCATTTATTACTTCAGCTACTCTTTGACATCTTAATAAATTTAGCTGTTTAATTTACTATTTGTTGTTTCCTTTATGAGATTTAATATTATGGTTTGATGAATTTAGCTTTTTATTTAGTTTATATAAAAATGAGTTTGCCGAAATAAAAATTGCGCAACAAAATATGTTACCAACAAAAAACAATTTTTCTAGAAAAAATAATAAATAAATAAAAATTAAAAGGAATCGCATTTTATCAAAGAGAGTACCTTGTAAGACATCAAATACTACTGTTTCAGTGAAAGAAAGTTACTTTTAAGTATTCGAAATGTTAATTTCAATGTTTCTTCAGATTATATAAAGTTCTGTCACAAAGTGTGCCAGCTGGGTGAGAACCAAGAGGCTGTATGTCAACACTTTGTATTTTTTCTGTTTTTTATCAAAAAATATTCATCAAACCTGTGGGTTGTGTTCACTAAATTTGATCGCAAAAAGAAAAGAACTTTAGAAAATATTTAAACAATCAGTAAGACATTCTGACAGAAAGCCTTTGCATACTAAAATTAAAAACTCAATTTTCTCGGAAACAACTTATAACTCGCCAACCGAGAACCTCCTGGTTTTGGGCTTGCAAGTTATAGAAGCCCTACACATTAAGTTGTTAATAATATATGCTCAAGTTTCTGTTGATGGTTCATAATAACATAAGACTTTTATAAGTATTACTGTCATAACAGGGATAAGTGTGCTGGTGTTGAATTCAAGTCAAGACATCTTATAGCTGCAAAATATGAAAAGGTAAAGGAAGTACATTAACATATGAATAGTGGAAGTTAGTCAGGTTAGTTAGATACTAACCTAATCAAATAATGTATGAACGCTCTTTGCAATCATCAAGCGCTATTGACATATTTTATAGCTTTATTTTGCATCGAAACCTGATTTATTTAGGCACTTTTTACCTTATTTCATTTTTTGACATTTATTTTCTGTTGTTGTTGTTAAATTAAAACCTTAGGTAAAACAAGTTAACTCTTTCGTATGGTTTTTTTTTTTAAAAAAGTTGATTAAGGTGCCCCAAGAAGTCCTTACGGTCTCATCACAGAGCACCGCGGAAGAGCATTTAATGGAAAGTTCACGCCTCCTTCCCAACCGATGTCGCAAAACTTGATCTTTTCAAACTTATTATCTTAATAAAAATTGTAATAAAACCGATTATTTGTGCATGAAATATTTAGAGTATACTTAGTATGCTATAAAAATTCTGGTGACAAATAAAGATTTAAAATATTCTTGTTCAATCTTTTTAATAAAGAAATTAGTTCACTACTCCAACTGCTAGTATTTCAAGCAATTTTGCGATAATTTGTGATTATTTTTAAATAAGTCATTTAATGAAAAATTAGTCGGAATAAAACGTAATACATAGACCTACAAAGTTGGAACAACAAAAAATTAATATAACGGAAGATGTGAATTCAAAAAGTTATTTAATTTTAGGCATTTTTTCTTATGGATGTTTCAAAAACTTTTAGAAAATATTTGTCATCAGAAATACTGCAAATATTAAAATAGTACATTTTAGTTGTGTACCACTTTAAACGTTTATAAATGCCAAACACTTAAATACGACCGGAAAATGGCAAAATTCGGAGCCGTGAAATAAAAAACGTAAATAAGAAAGTACAGTACTTATTGAGAAAAAACATCACACAAATTCTTGACAATCATAATTCTAATACATTTTGTAGTATCCTAATAAAAATTAAACAAATAAATTGAAAAATTGAATATTATTGATTGATTTCTTAAAGAAAAAAAAGATAAAAAGTAGAAAGCAAAGCAGAAAAATTAAAAAATTATTAAAATTTTTCTTATACGAATAAGAGGCAAGAGTATCATAATATCAGAACAAAAAATAGAACAAAGTTAGTTTTTGATCCGAAATCTATTAAAGTTCAGTATGAGAGGCTACTTTAGTACACAAAGCTGGTGTTTGAAACTCCATGGCATATTCGCAACGACTTGGCTCACTGACAGCCAATAACTTGCTTTCTGCACCACAACTTAAACTTACCTAAAAATAGCAAATAAATAATAAAAATAGCAGCAGACAATTCAAAATTTATATTACAACTTTATGAATATAACAAACCTTTGTAGACCGAGCAGGACCATTCCAACAGCCAGCACCATCCTTATAAAGCATTGTTGAATATTTCATAGGAAGCTCCCCCCAGTTGCCCCATTTTCTAAATTAAAAAAAATCGTGCATAAGAATTAGGCTTAATTAATAATAACGTTACTGTAAGAAAAATCCATATTAAAAACTTAACTAAAACTCGTTTAAAATAAAATTCAAACACTGTTTCAATTTAACAAAACAAACAAAAAAAAGTTGTTTTGCTTCAAGAGTTTTGATTATCATTAAGAATGATTCCCTTAACCAAACCCTTTGTCTGTGTATGTACACTCATATATCCTTATAAAAATCAGTTAATAGATCATGAAATCTGGATGTCAGAGTACCTTGTTACTTTACATTTAAATTTTTTTGCATTTTTATAATAAAAGTTGTACAACAGTGTTCATTAAATAATAGAAATAAAGGATTTAGATAATATATAAAATGAATGAGTGTTTATTAAATAAAACATTTTTTTTACGATAAAATAGAAATTTCCAAGTGAATTTTTAAACTTTCTGAACTTATGTGAACATTTGTTGTAAACAGTGTAAACATTTATGTAAACATTAAGTGAGAAGTTAAAAATTTGTTTTTTTAAAACTGAATATAATTTGTTGATTTTAATAATAACAATTTTAAACTACTTTTTTAATTAATATTTCACCAATTTTAAATACATTCTTGCTACCATCATCCTTCTAAGTGTGCCATAAGTTAAGATCAACACTAGCTGTTTGTTTTTAGGTTAAGCAATTGAATAAAAGAAACCATTATAAAAATTGTAGTAAAAATGCTATGGAGAATAAGCAATTATTCAAAATAGACAAAAAACAACTTTGAGCAAGAACTGTTCTTATAATCAAATTTTATAAAGAGTAAACTAAAAGTATAACTATAAAGAGTAATAAAAAGGAACAAATTTGTCTATTTGTCTCTTTAAGAGACAAATAGACAAATTTGGACAATTTTTAAATTCAATCATTTTAAAAAGAATTTTAATTATAAAGAAAATTTACCCTAGATCAGTCTCACTTCCACCACTCTTTGACCTCTGAGTTGTCTTACTGAATGGACACAGCTTGTATATATATCTTAAAAAAAAAACAATCAAGAAATTAATAAAAATAACAAACAATATGTCAAAATAAAAACATAAAGAAAGACATACTCTCTATCAGTGAATTCATAACAATTATCTTTTAATATAGCAAACTCATTGTTATAACCATAATCTATACTCAAATATTCCTCAACAGATCTAAAAATTCAAGTTTTGAAAAAAAAGTTAATATTTAAATAAAATAGTATAAATAAAAGTAATTAATACTAATTAAACTAATGATACCTCCGTTCATTTTCTAACTCTTTTACTTCGTTGTCAATGTCATCAAACGATTTTCTTGCAGCATCAGCACCTTTAAAGATTAAAGACTCGAGCATTTATTACTTAATAAAAAAATATGGTATACAAGAAAAAAATAACAGGTTTTTATTATTTTATTGAACTAAGAACTTTTATATACTTTAAATTAATTTCAGATTTTCAGTATTTGTTGTTTATCAATAAAATATTAAAAAACTGTTTTATGCTATTAAACAATTAAACAGATATTTTTGATTTTTATCAAAAAAATAAAAAAAATTTTTTTGTTCAAAACAAATTATTTCTACCATTTTTTCTAATAAAATGTTCATTTAATTAAAAAATATTGATATAATCAATAAGTGCTTTTAAACTCACTTACATTTTTTCTTTTTTAAAAATCTTAGGAATTAAAAATTAAAAAAAAAACATTTAATAATTTAGGAAAATACCCAGAAAGTCATCAGAAACTTTTCGAGGCCATAGTTTAATAAGCATCCATATATATATAGTAAACTCCCGATATTTCGAGGCCATAGTTTAATAAGCATCCATATATATACTCCCGATATTTCGAACCTCCAAGGGACCAAAAAATTAGTTCGCGTTAGAGAATGTTCGAGTTATCGGGAGCATAATCCTTAAATAAAGGTTCAACGGGGTTTCAAAACTAGTTCGAGTTACTGGAAGTTCGAATTATCAAGGGTTCAAGATAGACCATCCAACTTGACTATTCGAATACTTGATATTTGAATATATTTGCATGTTTTTTGACTATTTGATATTCGAATATTTTTTCCAAATATTCGAATAATTTCAAAAATGTAAATCACAGTAAGCTTTGAAAAAAGTACGGTTAATTTCTATCTTCTTACAAGAAAAAACAAATAAACCCTGAAATAATAAAACAAAAAGAATTTTTATATAGAATATAGCCTTGACGTGGGAAAATTGCATTTTTTTATGGTTTTAATTTTGTGCGACATTATTTTTGTCAGTTATTAGAAAGCAGTCGGTTATTTAAATTGCTTAGCAAACATTCGTAAATTTTATTGTAAAAATTCATTTCATTTAAAATAATAAAAACAATATAACCAATAATTTTTAATAATACAATTTGTGCTTGCATACTTCTATAATAATAATTATTATAAGAATAATAATAATACTTCAGGTAAATTAAAATTTGTTAGATATTCTTACATACATATTTACATCTTTGGTTTTTTTAGCCATGTCAAAAAATTCTGAGGTATGGAAGTTTTTTAAGAAAGAAGAAAAAAAATTTGGTGAAGCCACATGTGGTACGTGCAACACGAACATTGGATGGAAAAGTTCAACCACTGCTATGATTAACCATTTAAATCTACGACACAACATATTGATATCAAGGTATCAAGAAATCGGTATGAAATCGGTATCAAGTGAAATTGATGGAGAAAATAATATTCCTAAGAAAAAACAAAAAACTGAAACAAGTACTATTTGGCAATTTGTAAAAAAAGAATCTTTAAATGAAATATTGTCAAAAGTCGCAGCTGTTGATGAAATGGCTATCACGGCAATTAGTAAATCTCAAGCTATAGCTGGTTATGTGCAACAAAAAGGTTATAAAATGCCAAAAAGTCCGACAACTATTTCAAAATGCATCAACAGCTTTTATAAAGAAAAATTTATTGAACTGCGGGACAAATTTCAAAAATTAAAAACAGCAAATCGTAAATTTGCTATTACAGTGGATGAATGGACAGATTGCACTATTTTACGTTATGTAAACGTAACAGCTCATGTACTTGGAATAAACTCAAATACAATTGAAAGTTGTTTTGGGTTTGACGGAAATAATTAAGCAGGGAAATGCTGAAACAATTAAACATTTAGTTGAAGATAAGTTGGCAGACTTTGGGATTCTCTTAAAAAATGATGTTATTGCATCAACATAATCACGCCCTCCATTTAGCTGTCATGGATTGTTTTTATATAAAAAATGTTATTCCCAATGAAGTGTTTGACGATACTGAAGAGTTTGCTGATGAAGAAATGGAAGAAGATTCTATAGAAGATCAGTGCTCTGAATACAATTTGGAGTTTATTAACGAAAATGAAAATGTAATGACATTGGATATTGATTTTGACCAAATTATTAACAGGTTAAGAGGTGTTATAAGAATGTTTAAAAAATCGTCTACAAAGCATTCTATTTTGCAACAAAATATAGCTCAAAAAATGGGAAAAAAACTTAAGTTAAAATTAGACATGAAAACTTGATGGAGTTCTTTCAGTGTAATGATTCGACGTTTTTTAATTCTATCAGAATGTATTAACAAATTCTTAATCGAATTGAATTTTGATCCAATTGCTGAAAATGATATTTGTGTGCTACAAAACCTTGTTGACGTTCTCGCACCAGTTGAAACTGCTGTTACTGAATTGAGTAAAAATGATGCAAATCTCATAACAGCTGAAGGAGTATACAAATTTTTGTTTGAAAAGTTGCAACCAATGCAAACAGATATAACAAAAAAACTTATATATGCTATCCAAAAAAGGATGGATGAAAGAAGAGATCCAGTTTAAATGACACTAATCATTTACCTACAGAGTGGAAATATACCAAGTTCCAACGATTATTTTAAATATTCGTCAAAAAATGCAGCAATTTCATTCGCTGTTAAAATTATGGAACAAATATATCCACAAATGTTCATAGAAGAGCATATTAATATAATTCTACCTCATTTTAATCTGATGATAACCTGATGATAACCTGTTAATATTAAATGATTTAATAGAATTAACACCACAAGTTGGACTGCAAAAAGAACTGCAAAAAGAACTGCAAAAAAAACTCCAAAAAGAACTGCAAAAAGAACTCCAAAATGCAATAAGTTCTATTACAGCTCCAAAAAACTGTCATGTTCGCAATACCAGGCAAATTGATAAATATAATGAACTAAAGAAAGCATTTCATCAGTTTGATTCTTTCAAAAAACGATCGGATATGCTGGACGTTTTGTATAATGCTCTTATAACAATACGGCCTACTTCAACAGCTTCTGAAAGAGAACTCTCAACAGCAGGCGCAATCAAAACAAAAAGACGAACCAGTTTAAATCATGAAACATTTAATTCAATTTTATTTTTAAAATATGTGTTTTTAGAAAAAAAATAATGTTTTAAATAACAAAATAGTTCAAAACTAAACGCTTTTCTTTATTAAAATATAACTATTTTTCTTTTTGTTAATATGTCTTTATACTTTTGATAAATTATTTGAGTATTCGATTACTCGAATATTTTAAGATTTTTCTATTTGATATTCGAATAGTTGAAAAGCTCGAATATTTGGATGGTCTAGTTCGAGATATTGAGAGTTTACTGTATCTTAAAAGTCTACAATAACGTCAAATATTGTTGAAAGTCTACAATGACAATAAATAGTGTTAAAAGTCTACAATGACGTTAAATAGTGTTAAAAGTCTACAATGATGTTGAATATTGTTTAAAGTCTACAATGATGTTGAATATTGTTTAAAGTCTACAATGATGTTAAATATAAATAAACTCTTAGCAAGCTAATCTCTTGGGAGTTAATAAGTTTTTTAATAATAATAAAAAAAGAGTCAGGTCCTTTTAAAAATATGCATGTAATAAAGCAATTTTAAAAGTCTGTAGTTTTAAAAGAGAACGCTAATAAACCAGACCAGAAAAACTTTTAAATATTAAATTAAAACTATTGAAAAATGATTCCTTATTTTTAAGTTTGTTTGATCATAAATGAGAAAAAGCAATGAAGCTTTTGAGCAGCATTTGAAAATGAATCTGACCGAAAAAAAAAAAAAAATTTCCTGGATTATTTTAAACTTTTTATCAACTTAGTTTATAGAACCAAATCATAACTATCTTAAAAAATAACATAAAATATGACATTTTAAATTATTTTTCAAGATAAAGATAATTAAAAAAAAAAAATTATGTTCAACAGATAGTAAAAAGCTTTTTTAATCGTGTGTGTGTTCATATATATATTCCTACAGTTTATGGCTTAGAAAACGTGTTTGTGGTAAAAAATGGCTCTTCGCTTGTTTTTAGTTTTAAAGCTGACAAAATTAAGGATAGACTATGTCAAAACGCATTAATTTAATTGCGGGAAGTAATTAAACCACAAAAACGCTAATTAAAAGATAAGAATGTTTTTAAAAACATTCTGAATGTTTTTATTTTTATTTTTCAACTGTAAAACATGCGCAGAGTGTTGCTACATCGACTATCTTATAGTCTGACTCGCAACGAAGTGCCGCTACATCAACTGAGGGTTTGGTTTGTGCAGGCAGTCTATCAAATAATTAAAAGTAAAAAAAAAAAGGTTTTTCCGGTCATTAAAATAAAAAAAAACAACATAAAATTGATATTTTATGGTAAAAACTTTAAGACGACCACGCAAGAGTGTGTGTGTGTTTATATATATATATATATATATATATATATATATATATATATATATATATATATATATATATATATATATATATATATATATATATATATACACACACACACACACACACACATGTATACACATATGTATATATTTATAATATACATATATTTTGTATCTATATATTATACATATATACATATATATATATATATATATATATATATATATATATATATATATATATATATATATATATATATATATATATATATATATATATACATAAATACATTTTATTATTCTAGACCGATTTTGACAGCGTCAACCATATTTGGGGACCTTTTTAAAGGCAAACATTGTTTTTTTGTGTATATATATAGTTTATCTGATGAGTCTTTATTGATGAAACACAGTGTTAAATAAAAAAAGTTTAGTGAAAAGAGATTTTCACTTTTTTCTATTTTAATTTAAAATTTATTTATAGTTGATTGCATACAGTAGTTTATAAATAAACTAATTAAAATCAACACAATAAATTGTAATACAAACACAATAAATTGACAATACAAACAAACAAAAATATCGTAAAAAAATCCATAAAAAATCAGTAACAACTAACATAGCAATGTTATTAAAATGTCATGCATAAAAAAAATCTTAAAAAGAAAAAAAACTTCATAAATATGGTAAAAATAAAAAAAATAACTTCGCAAATACCATAAAAAGAACAAATAAATTTATAAATTTATTTGTTCGTAAAAATGACATGATTAGTAATAATAATACATAAATTTAGGTTTTACAAATTTTACAAAAACTGGAACTCTTTATAAAAGACCTCATAAAAAAGAAAGGCTCAATCCCAAATATGTATTGCCAACAGTTATGCATGGAGGGGGAAGTATAATGATTTGGAGTAGTTCCTCCGATCATGCATGGGCCATATTCATAGAATTGAAAGCATTCTAGATACTACAAATATACTATTATACTGGAAGACATAATGCTACCACATGCGGAATAAAACATGTCACTGAGATTTATTTTTCAGCAAGATAATAATCACAAGAACACCTCGAAGCTTGTAAAGAACTCGTTTGCAACCCCAAAAATTAATGTTTTAAAATGGCCAGGCCAATTTCCAGACCTCAACCCCAAAGAGAACCTCTGGGAAATAGTTGAGAAAAAAATAAGACTTAAAACATTTTCAAATACGGCAGAGTTGTTTGAAGAAGTTGAGAATATGTGGAAATCAATAGATGTCATTGTAATAGACAATCTTATATCATCTAGATGATGATATGAGATTGATGCAAGGCAGTTATTTTAAAAACATCAATTTTGTAGAATACATTTAAAACTATTCATATCTATATCTATATCTATATTGATATATATATCTATATTGATATATATATCTATATTGATATATACATATATATATATATATATATATATATATATATATATATATATATATATATATATATATATATATATATATATATATATATATCAATATCAATATATACATATATATATATATATATATATATATATATATATATATATATATATATATATATCAATATCAATATATATATATATATATATATATATATATATATATCAATATATATCAATATATATATATATATATATATATATATATATATATATATATATATATATATATATATATATATCAATATATATCAATATATATATATATATATATATATATATATATATATATATATATATATATATATATATATATATATATATCAATATCAATATATATATATATATATATATATATATATATATATATATATATATATATATATATATATATATATATTAATATATATATATATGTATATATCAATATCAATATATATATATATATATATATATATATATATATATATATATATATATATATATATATATATATATATATATATATATATATATATATATATATATATATACACACATATATACCCACACACATGCTAATATTTATCATTTACCTTCAATAAGCTTTTTTGTTTCTTCATCGTAATCAGGCATAACATCTATGGCAGATATAAATATTATCTATTAAACTTAATATTTCCCTAATTTAAACATACTAACTATCTACTACAAATACCATAAATAATAAAAATTATATAAAAAACAGGATTTTTTTTATAATCCAAAAATCAGAGTTATAATAAACTTTGTTATTATAAAGCATAGTTTATATTTCCAAATATATGATGTTCCATAACAAGATAAAGCATCTTGCTGAGGACATAAAGCTGTTTCATAAACTGAATCTTCAATGTTGACATTTCTTAAAGAAACAACAGGAAAAGATATATTTTAAACATATATTTAACATAAGGAAAAGATATATTGAGTCTTTGATCAAATGTCTCAATTTTATACTGCTGTCTTGACAAAAACTCTTCTCTTTTCAATTGCTTAGAACAGACAGCCAATCTTAAATCTGATCTCATTTTCAAAGAGAATAAAATCCTAATTGTCATGAACCATTACATATCAACTTTTTTTTTAAACATAAAAACTAGACTTAACTAGATTATTAAAGTTTACATAAAGATACTTAAAGTTTACTTTCATAAAAATTTTAAAATGAACATGTTTTAAAATGAAAATAAAAATACTTTTATGAAAATAACAGTTTTGAAAAGAAACTAAAAATGATAAATGTTCTAAAAACAAAAAAATAAAATGGTAATAAAAGACAGTTTAAGATATATATTATAATGAATAATTTTATTAATAATTATTAATATTTTATATAACTAATTCATTATAATTATAATACAATTTTATTAAAATATTTATTTTGTTAATAATTTTCATGCTAAAATTAATATCCCCCAATTAGTGACTACATTGATTACTCTCTATTTCAATTAATAAATACCTTTTGTCAGTTACATTATTACCAAATCTGTCAATTATTAAGTTCTTTCATGCATGTCAGTAACTTAACATGATCTTATATTTAAAAAATATTCTTTTGTATGCAAAACATTGCGTAAAAATAATTATAAGAAAAATAGAATTGCTACGAGTGCTTTTGAATTGAAACTTATCAAAAAGTGCATTTGTAAATGGATGTGTGCAATTGACAACTTTGAAACATCAAAAACATCAGAGTTCGTACAGCTTTAAAAAGTCTTGTTGTTTCAAGTTTAAAAAATTAAAAATGAAACCTACAATTTTTCATTTTAGGAAACTTAAAACTTAAAATTCTAATTTGGTAAATATTTAAAACAAATGGAAAGCATGTCTTCACAAAAGACTTCGTCACTGAGCATGATTTTACTTAAGAACGATTTAAAAAATTAGTTTAGGTTTATATCTAATGAGAAATAAAAAGCATTGTCTTGATGTTTTGTTTTTTTTTGTTCATATTGAAAAATGCTAAGTAAAATACTGGATAAAAGTCATTTTTAAAAACTATGTATATTAAAAACAAACAAACAAAAAAAAAAAAAAAAAAAAAAAAAAAAAATCAATCTGCATAAAAGCATTCGAAAGTCCATTTTTGCATTGCAATTACTCACAATTAATTTTTATAACTTTAGTTTTTTCTCTACAGTCATGACCATTCAATACACTAAATATACTAAATACACTAGTAATTTTAAAGTGAGTAAATAAAGGATGACATTTTTATAGAGGTCAGGTATAACCTGACCTAAGAACTTGAATTAATCAAGGTAATGCTTTTTTAATTTTAAATTTTAGGTGAGAATATTAAGTGCATTGATTGCGATATAAAACATGATATGTGAAATGCAATCAAAAAACTAGATGTAACAATTGCAACTATAAAAATTGGGGATACAAATAATGTACTTTTCATTAATAGCTGTATCCTTTTTTAACTTGTATAAAACTTATAACTTTATAAAACTGTTATATATATATATATATATATATATATATATATATATATATATATATATATATATATATATATATATATATATATATATATATATATATATATATATATTATACATATTTATATCACTAACCTGCTATTTACATCTATTTAAACAAACTTCAAGTCAAAATGCTGCAAGCCTCTTACTTTACAAGGCCAATACAGAAAGATGTTTGTGAATTATATTTACTAACATTTTAAGATACTTTGAATCTAGATAAAACATTACACGCTCTTGCTAATGATTTTATTTTCTTTCTTATTCTTTTTATTTTATTCTATAGATTTTATTCTATAAATTATAAATTCTATAATATTTATAATATCTTATTCTATTAAATTTATTCTCTTTGACGAACTAAAAAATATCTTTTGAGAATTTAAAATAGCTGAAAAAATTATGGTTTGATATAAATGTTTTTATTCCTGTTTATTTAATTTACTTCCTTCCAAATTTAATGATTTTTTAACATAATGCTGTACGAACCCTGAGTATTTTTTATTATGTCGTACCATCTTGGGACTTTCCTATCCCAGGCTCTTCACCAGAATCTTCTCCTTCCTCATCATCATCATCTCTGTCATCATCGTCATCTTCACCTTCCTCATGGTGAGAAATAAGTGAAGGGTCATTTTCAGCAACTGGTTGAGAGATACCTATTTCACAGTTTATTATCTTTAGCTTTAAGTTTTCATAAAGTTTTTTACATTTTAGAAAAAATTGTTTGTATATCAGTGGTAAATTCTAACATGTAGACTATAGGGTGGAGTGGGGGTGGTAATAAATTTACTACGTATATTCACCTGATGATTTTTGCTTTTTTTTTATACCAATTATTAAAATTTTTAGAATTGTAAACAAAAAAATATTAAAAAAAAAAACTATACAAATTTTTTTTTAAAATAAATTTTCAAGATAAAGAAAAATTTTCAACAAGAAGTACTTTACCTCTGATATACAAAACTATTTTATTTTAAAAAAATTTTACAATTGTATGTAAGTAAGTAAGTTAGGCCTTGTATGAATGTATGAAGTATGTTAGGCCTTGTTTTAAAGAGTTAGGGTAGAGCGATTTACGTACGTACTTAAGCGATTTTACGCAAATATTAAGCAATTTTGGTTAGGTGACTTTTTATCCTTTTTAACTCTTAAATTATTCTTTAAGCAGTAAGATAAAAGAAGTAATTTATTAAAAAAAAAAATCACACTTACTTTTGAATGACGTTTACGTAAAAATATTTGTTACAAAAGTTTGAATGACAATTATGTTAGATATAAACGCTATTTACTAATGAAAAAAAAAAACTGAAATGAAACTAAATATTTATTTTTATTTTGTTTTTATTATACTGTAAAGATTAATTTTTTCGCTTGAAAAACGTTAATACTTTAAGCTTGAAGCAAAGATCATAATATAATTTACTTTAAGCTTGAAGCAAAGATCATAATAGTATAATTTGCTTTAAGCTTGAAGCGAAGATCATAATAGTAAAATTTGCTTTAAGCTTGAAGCGAAGATCATAATAATTTAATTCTGATAAAAAATACACAATTTAACTTAAAACTAGTTTAATAAAAATATATAATTTTATTCTGATAAAAAAATTATATGATTCAATTTACATTTACAAAATGTATAATTTAATTTCAATTTAAAAAGTATATTTAAGTTTAATTAAATTAAAGTTAATGCTTGGGTTTAACTTAACTGTCTAATTTATTTAAAAATATTACTAAATATTGTTTAATATTTAAAATTTATTTGTTCTTAAAAAAAAATTAGCTCATTTTTATCACAATTGTTTTTTCGGTTTTCCTTCCTAAACATTTTTTTTTAAATTAAATTTTAAATAAACAGCTGCATCACAAATTTGTACAAAACATAAGTTAAACTTTCCCTAAAAAAATAAAATAATCCCTGCTTGCAGCAATTATTTTTTAATAAACAATACAGTGATATAATTTTAATAAATGATGTTTGGAAAAATAATCTTTGCTTTCACAACAAAATTGTTAATAAAATAATAAACTTTTAATAAATAGAGTAAATAAATTTATGTAATTTTTTTATTTGTTACACTTATTTTTTTATTTTTTATTTTAAATAAAAAATATTTGTAGTTACAAAACCGCTATTAGAAATTTAAATTTTCTATGAGAAAATAATTTAAAAATTTAAAATATTTTAATTCATTTATGCAAATATTGAGAAAAAATAAGAAATTTGTTAACATCAAACATTTTTAAAAATGTAATATTAAATTTAATTATTTAATATTAAAAAAAAATAATAATAATAATAAACATTCCCTTAAAGTAATAATAAAAATGAAATTAAATAACATTTAACTTGTTTTCGGTAAAAAATATTACTGCAGTGATTTAAAAAAAGTCTTTAAAAATGTCTTTAAAAAAAAGAAGAAAAAAAAAAAGAAAAAAAAAGAGAATTTTATGACATCAAATTTACATTAGGCTATTGGGTTAAGCATTTTTTATTTAAAACAAGGCCTAGTATGTATGTATGTATGTATGTATGTATGTATGTATGTATGTATGTATGTATGTATGTATGTATGTATGTATGTATGTATGTATGCATGTATTTTAGGGTTTGTCAAAAAAGGTTATCTTTTTTATAAGCATAAGAGTAGATTTATATGGCGCCAAACTATACTAATTAGAACTACTTCATTTTTTATTTTTGACCACTTTAATGCTTCCCTCCATAATCGACCCAAATTTTTGATTTATTATTTAGTGTTAGAATTGTAATTTATTATGTTGTTTGTAGATGGAAATAAAAGTATAAAGTAATTTTAATAATTTTTTAATGTCTCATAGTCATAAATTCAATAAATTCTAAATTAACAATTAAAGCTTTAAAAAAGTTAAAAACCACAAACTTTCTGGCAATAAACAAGAGATCATTTTAAACCATAATTAAAAAAGCAATTTCTTGTAAGTAAAATTAAGGTATCACATAACCATGTACAACCCTCGAGGGTTGCATATATGATATAAAAAGCTTATTATAATTGTTTTATGACGCGATATACAACTATTCATAAACTTATGTATTTTATTATATAACTTATTGATATTAAATTATAAGAATAAAATTTCATTCTATAATTAAGAATTTGCATAGCAAACAAAATATTTTGTTCTAAAAACTTTAAATCAAATTCAAGTTACCCAATATACAGAAGAAATTTGTTTAATGTCAACAATTAAACAATACTTTTTCTTTTGAATTAACCAAGTTGTTTTCATTTTTACATACATGATCATTAAGTTGAATATTTATTTTAGGATTAAGTTGAATATTTATTTTAGGATGTGTCAAGTAAAGATCTGAGTTATAAAAACATACTACTGGAAAGAAAATTGTTGTTCTATATAACATGATCATACTTTTAAAATATTTTTTTATATTTAATTTTAATATTTTCCAAAAAATTTATTTTATATATATATATATATATATATATATATATATATATATATATATATATATATATATATATATATATATATATATATATATGGAGTTAAAGTCAGCATTCAGCAAAGCAGTATGATCAAAAATAGTTTAATTATGGCAATAAATGCAATCTTTAATTTAAACATACGCCAAAATAAATAAAGTATACACACTAAATTTTAGCATTGGAAAAACTAGACAAAACATACCTTCTTCATTTGTAGGAGAAACAGCTGGAGGTTCTATTTCCTCAGAACCAGCTTGTTGATTTGTTTTTTCCTCAGATAAACTATCAATCTTCTCTGCATTTAACTTTTCTTCAGGAATCTTTTAAGCAATCATTAAAAAGATTATTTGTACATCATTACATCATGTAAGCATAAAATAAACATTTAACAAAAATACTCTTACAGGTCTTCCATTCACCAGTACTTTGTCTTTGATATGTTCCCAAACCTTTACAAAACCTTCTGAATCAACCATTTCATTCCCATCAAGCAAGTCCTAAAGCATAATAATCTATTAACTCAAATTTGCTTTGTGGCAAAAAGTACCACTAATTTTTGGTTTTTTGCATACTGATAAATTGAAACATCACAAAAGAAAAAAAAAAAAATTATTTGCCACTATCATCCTTTAAATGTTAACAGTCCATGCCAGTCCACGCAAACTTAATGTGATTTCTAAATGTCCATGCTGTATTATTACGGTTTTGTGCATCTGCTTATATTTCCTTCTTGTTCATCAGTAATTATATGTCTACTTAACACAAAAGTTATTACTAGATAATTACAAAACTTTTGTTACAGAAATTCTCTTTTAAACGTGTTCACTTAAATTTTAAATATGACAAATAAGGAAGTTCTTTCAGTGCAAAAATAATTATCCAAAAGTAAATCTTTACTCACAAAAAGATTTTATACATTTGATGAATCAATAATGAAAAGATATATTTAATGAATGATTATTGAAAATGATAATAAAAGATTAATGCTTAAAGGTGGTGTGCAGTATGTTACAAACACAATATTCAAAAAGGATCAGGATATGGATTGGAAAGGATCAGGATATGGATTCTACGCGAATGTGATGTAGGACTTTTTGCAGCTCCATGGTTTTTACAAATATCATGCAAAAAGTGAAAATCAGTGAATAAATTTTTAATATTTTGTGTTTATGTAGTATAATATATATATTTATAAACTTGAATAATAACATTTTGTAGTGTTTAATTATGTCAAAAATAGTAAAAAATATTTTTTATTCTATAAGTAAAAAAATACAATGATTTTAAAAACACGGGACATTTAAAGACCACTTCTAAAAAAAAAACTGGACTAATAGCGACTGTTTTTAAAAAAAAACATGGGACTATTAAAAGGTTAATGAGTTTTTCAACATTTTTAATATAAAAAATTTGGAAGTAACATAATAAATGAAGAAATGCACACAAAAAAGAAATTATAGTTGAAAGAAATCTGAATCTATTCAAATAAAGCTTATTGTAAAGTTAATTTTAAGAAATAAATGTTTTATAAAACTTTTTTTTTTTTTGTCGAAAACAAAATTCTTTTATCAATATTTAAAATTGTAAAAAACCCCAATAAAAAAATTTCCCACCAAAAATAAATTAAACTTCTGTACTGTAAACCTACCTTAAATAAAATTAATAACAAACATTTCAAGAAATCCGGATATATACTATATAAATTAGTTTATACTAAAAAACTAATAATAAAATACCTTTGCAACATCTTCTGTGTTATCACTCTTCATATATGGATTATTTGTCAGCTCAGTGTATGTAACCCTATTTGAAGTAAAATGAAATTAATTTTTTAAAGCAGTTAATAAGGTTTTCAACCTTTCAACTTAATAAGCTATTCAACCTTTAATAAGCTTTTCAACCTTAATAAGCTATTCAACCTTTTCAATGACATTCAAGAAAAAAGTTATAAATTTAATCATAGTCAAGAAATGAAATTAAAAAAGAAAAAGAAAAAAAGTCAATTATCACCACCATCATCAAAATCATCATTATTAGCATTTGAACATTTTCAATAAATTTGATTCTTACCAACCATTTTTGTCCAAGTCAAGCAAAAAAAAATGCTGTAAACATAAAGCACTTTCTCTCTCGGCTTTGCGTTTTGCTTGAACTTCTAAAATAGAAAATTAGCAAATATTGGTTGAGATGTTCAGTGTAAAAAAATAAAAACAAACTGAGTGATTCAAAAAATAAAATTCGAAGAAATAAAAAAAGGTTTAAAAAGTCCTAATTTTTGTCTTACATTTATTGCTTTCTAAACTAAGCAATGGTGAAATTTCTTTAATTTCACCAACCAAAGTTAAACAAAGTTAAATAGTGAATATTTGTAAAACTTTGGTGTTGAAGTTAAACAAATTACTACTCGCAATGTAACTTTAATGTAACAATGTGATTTTAATTTAAACAAATTAAATTGGACAATTTGTAATTTGTTCCAGCTATTAAATTGGACAATGGTAACTTTTTTTGGCTATTAAATTATTTTAAACCATTTTTTACTAGAAAAGAAATTATAAAAAATTAAAAAATAACTGTATTGAGTTATTAACAATTAACAAATTTTTTTTCAGGGTAACAAAAATGAACATTTTTTCTTAACTTGTTATTTCAAGTTACTTAAAATCAACAACATTTTATAAGTTTAAATAACTTGAAATTTAACAACAACATTTTATAACTTTAAATAACTTGAAAATTAACAACAACATTTTAAATACTTGAAGATTAATCATCAATATTTTATAACTTTAAATAACTTGAAAATTAACAAAGACAACAAAAATTAAAGCTTCTATTTTCTACAATTTAATGCAAATTAAAAAAAACCCATCAATATAAGAGTAAAATTGATAAGTGCAACAAATAGTGTGACTGTGTTAGTAATTTTTGTAAATTTTTAAATTTGAAATGTATGAGCAAAGATACAGAGATTATTATTAGGATACAAACTTTATGTTTAAAAAACAAAAAAACCATTCACATGACTTGAGTGGTAGTTGACAAAAAAAAATGTATTATTTTATTATTAAGAGTTTATTTAAAAAGTTCAGCGCAATGTATTATTTTATTATTAAGAGTTTATTTAAAAAGTTCATTTTTTAGTCAATGTATTTGAATAATTTATGAAAAAAAAAAGTTTTCATAAATTATTCAAATACATTGACTAAAAAATCTTCTTCATGTGTTTCATACAGAAAAGAGCTTTTTTTAAGTTTTAATTGATTGTGAAAGAAATTTGTAAAGAGACTTACTTAAAACTAAAAATCAAATAAGTTTTTAAGTTTTTAAAGAGTTGCAATTATTTTTTGAATTGTGAAAAAAAAAAAAAAAAAAAAAAAAAAAAACATCTGTAATTAATTATTGAATAAAGGTGTTTTTTTTAAATATTTGTTTCAAAGACAATTTTTTTTAAACAAATAACAAAGAACTTATCGTCTACAATCAACATCTTTCAATCAAATTTTAAAACTGTTATATTAACTGAATTTTTATTTTATTTTAAATTATTACTTTTTAGTATAAACTTTAATTTTTTCAAACTATTTTTAAAATTTTCTTTTTAAACATCAATTTTTATTGGAAATTGTATAATGGATTAGGTAATGGCTATTTATCACACCAACATGGTAAATACAATTTCAGCATACCTTCCCAATTTTTTTTGTGAAGTTCTTTGGCTTCTGTTTCTGGCTTCTCTGCAGCCTCCTTTGCAGCTAAAAATAAAAAATAAAAATTATATTATACCAATGATATATATTTAACTAGATGTCTAACTTCGTATAAATTCCGTAAGAAAATATGAAGCAAGTTTTTGAAGGTTAAAAAGCCGGTAGGCGCAGCAAAGAAAAAAATATTTTGACGATGTTAACTTTTTAAATGTTAAAAATATCTATTTATTAACTGTTATTTAAAAACAGCGTTTGTAGATAAAGAAAGTTATAAGTTGTTATATAATACAAAGATATTACATTTTTACTTGGCAAATATAAATATATGTTGGCAAAAAATATGTTTTTGACTTTTACAACTGTAACTTAAAAGTTTTCCAGTTGGAAACCTTTAAGTTATTGTTATAAAAGAACACATATTCCATTATGAAAATAAATCAAAAGCGTTACTGATATAAATAGGTATAAATTTTTATTTTCAATGTAGGTTTTCAATTAAAAAATTTAAATTAGTTCAAAAAACTGTAACTTACAGTTAACAGTTACAGTTAAGGAATTTTCAGAAATAATAAAATTTTTGTTTTAAAGAAATAATTTTATTTTTTGGCATAAATAGCTTACAAATAATATTGAATATTATTATTGCAATTTTTCATAAACCTTTGAACAAACAAGCTTATTGGACTGTTGCCGTAATCCAATCTTTCCTTTATGCAACTCATTTCTAGTGTACAGCTGACCATATGAGTGTAGACGCAATGTTAAATATTTTTCTATATTTTTTTTAAAAGCTGTGAAGAATGCATGTCTTCAGTCAAAATCTCATATTCTAAATCATGCATATTAAGTTCAGTAAACAGTGCGTCATTTGCAAGTTTTTGATTTATAAAGTGCACCAGATAGGGTTTAAGATTTTTTTTAGAAGATATTTTTAAATTATGGGGGTCTGCCCCACACACCAAAACTTTAAAAACGTGCTCACATTTTTCAACAATCTTTAAAACACTACAGGATGGAAAGATTAAACCACCTCGATTTTTAAAAGTTATAAAACTTTTCCATGATAAACTGCAAAATATAGAATACTCATGATCAGTGGATAAAGTCTTCGGAGAAATTAAACTATTGGCACAAGTCAGACATGTAATTTTACTATAAAGTTTTCTTACAATGAACCCTGCAATATATCCAAGTATAGCTTCTTTATAAATTGAAGTAGAGACTGATGAAAGACAAACAGCAAGGTCATTAAATTGGTTAGAATCCTCACTAGATATTATATTTTGTTCAACAAGAGGAGATCTCCTTTTACTCCACTTTAATAAAAAGATTGAGCCAGAAGATCTTTGGTCAAAAGTAAGGCAGTTGCTAAATTTTGATCCTATGATAGAGTTTCTTAATAAAATTCTTTTTAAAGCAGATTTTAACTGATGCGCATCTGGATTGTTATTGAAACCATTTTTGCCTCGAATACAAGCAAATAATAATTCGACAGTTTATATGTTAAAATAAATTCAAAAAGATTCTCATGTCTAGATAAAAGGTTAAGGGATAAATCTCTAACACTTGTGGCTGCTACAATGAAACCAAGTACAAATGTCTTTCTTCTGTGTTTAATTAAAGAAGTTTTAGATAGGCCTGATAAGTTAACTAAGTAATTTACAGATTTTTCTATGGTTTCTATCCATTTTGGAGCTTCATTCAAAAACAAAGGTTTCTTAGATCCTTTTTCAAAAAGGTTTTTAGAGTTTAACAAGTTGAATAATTTATCTAAAGTTCTAATAAAATTAATTGTGCCTTGGGCATCAATAAAAGTTGGATGACCTGAAACTATCAAAAACTCTATAGCATCAGCAACTGAACCACTTAGCGTTTGAGCTGCAATTTTAACATTCATTTTATGTCTGCGAAAGTCAATGTGGTAATTGCCAAGTTTATTTGCAAACTTAAATCCTTCTTCTTCTTGCAGTTTATGCAATGCTTTAATATGGTCCCACTTTATATATTGATTTTGTTCATCAACAAAGATACCGATACTACACAGAGCGTTTTGAGCTAATTTAATCATATGACAAGGATCAGGGATATAATATATAGGATGATCATATTCAGGATGGGGAAAACTACCACACATCTCTTTAATTTTATTTCCAAATGAACACGCAAGATTCTTCATTGCACTTAAGTTGGAAATAAGTCCATCACATGTTATACTCCAAACATTAAGATTATGAGTAGCGCATAAATGTAAAGCATTTTTAATTAGACAACTTAAATCCGCTGAGGAAATTTTATCACACAATATGTAGCCTATAGGACATTTCCAAAGGCCTTTCAATCCAACAACCATAAAAATAAGTGCTTCTGTTGCTAATTTATCTGGGTCTTAGGTTAGAATACTGTTTCCAAAACTAGAAAAACCTTAATATGATCCAGTAACATTATCATACCGCAGAGCAGCCCTGATATGCATAGAATCAAATATTAATCTATCAATCTTTGTATAATGAATCCTCAAATGTCTTATTTTGTAAAAACTTGAAAACATCTCCAAAAAACCCAGGCAAACAATCTACAGATGAGGTCCAGTTTGAAAGTGAGCTTACGGCAGGTAATGAAAATGTAGATTTAACAAATTCATATGCTCTTGGAGAATAAAAGTGCAGTGTTAAAGCAAACTTTTAAACTTCTTCAGAGTATCTATAACCTTTTTTTTTTTGCCTCTATTTTTTAATTCAGATTTCAAAAGTTCTTTAGTCAGTCCAGAGAAGTTGTTCTCAAGTAATTCAGCAACATCAATGGAAATAATTTTTTTTTCTCCAAGTTTTGAATAACTTTGCTAAGTGAAGCAATTTTTTTATCTTTTCGTTTAAGCTTTTGTTTTAATATTTTAATCTTTTTTCTAAGTAATAGTTTTTTTGGAGAATTTTGTTTAAGTATTTTTTTCTTAATAGTATTTGTAATTTCAGGCTCTGTTACCTCTTTATTCGAGATAGAACAAATTGTTTTTTTAATGTGTGATGTATCATCATTATATAGCTGATTCCGCTTGTTATTTTTGTTCAATGATTCATGAAAGTCAAATATTGAAGGCACAATATTTTTTTTCAGCACATGTTTCCCATTCTCTTGACACTCAAAATCTTCTAATTTAAAATGTTTACTGCAGATTCTACTATGTTTACTAGGTGCAATTTGTAAACATTTAGTTGCTGTTGCCCATTTTTTACATAAAATTTCATCATTTAAAGGGAATCTGTGAAAAGAAATTAAACTCATTTTATCAAATCTGCTTTTACAGTTGTAAACTGAACAATTAATAACCATGTTTATTATTTGTTACTCTAAAAAAATAAAAAGTATTGTTTTCAAAAATATATCTTTTTTGTTTTATAAATACATACACATACACTCACACACATTATCCCAGACTTTATCATATATAATATCATTTGAATATATATATATATATATATATATATATATATATATATATATATATATATATATATATATATATATATATATATATATATATACATATACATTATATTATATATGATATAATCTGGAGCGAGTCTAAATAAATGTCTCAGTTTAAAAATGTAAATATTTAAAATATATATACTTAAAATTAATTAAGTTAAAATAGTATGTAAACTTATCCTATATATTTCTTTATAATAAAATACAATATTTCAAAGGGTTATATATCTTGTTATTCAAGTAATATTACTTAAATAACGAGGGTATATATAACCCTTAGAAATATTGTATTTTATTATAAAGAAATATATAGGATAAGTTTACATACTATAACAGATATTTTAACTTAATTAATTATATAAAAACTTATCTAAGATGTTAACTTTTAAAAATTATATACTTAAAATATTTTTCGAAGGTTCAAAGTCTTTTTACTTTAAACTAAAATTACTAGCTTAGCAGTTATTTTTTATAATACCAAGTTAAAAGTAACTGAAGTTACTTTTAACCTACACATAAAATTATCCAATACTAAAGCATCTCACAATATCATTCCAACCTGACTAACTTTTAAACCCATTTTCTGATTTAACTGACACAAATATTTTTTGTTTTGATTTTATTTTTGCTCTTTGTCTTTCGGTAATATTTGTTAACTAATCAGATGCTGGTTGGCAAAACAAGTTATTAGCCAATCAGATGCTGGTTGGCAAAAAAAATGTGCTTCACTTTTTTTCGGAAGTTAGACATCTAGTTAATATATATGATTGTATTATATTGAATACATTAGCTATTTAAACAATAAGTTAACAAAATGAACCTCGCAATTCTTCAAGTTTTAGACGTCTTCCTTCTAAAATATCATTTAGTGTAGATAGGCGATTCTAAAAATAAATTTGCAAAACATTTATTGTATATATATATCTTACACTAAATACTTAAATATGCATAAAATACCACTGATCACAAATAACTATGGAAAAGGTCTTCAGTACATATATTAACTGAGAATCTTAAAGAAATTAATTAAAAAATAAAAAATAAAAAAACTATATACATTATATAAAAAAGGTATTTTAAAAGCAGGTCACTTAAATTTGATTTTTCAAACTTATCTTTAAATAAGATTTTTTTGCTACTTATTTTTTTTAAATTATCAACCAACATAAAATGTTTTAAAAATTATCTACCAACATAAAATCTGATGCCTAATACTTACACATACTCATAAAACCTAAAATATACTAAAAAATACAAACCTGTTTTTCAACCTTCCTTCTTTCACCTTCTTGAATCATTTCTTGCTTGTTTGAATATCCCTATAAAAATTATAAAATATATATGCTGTGAAATAATTTCTTTTATCATCAAAATTTAAACAAAATTATCAGTCGAAAAGCAAAACATATGTTGTATCAGATTGATGGTTTTCCTGAAAAAACAATAATAATAGTAATAATAACAATAATAGTAATAATAATAATGATAAAGATTATAATAATCGGTTATAATTAATACTTAATTTAACGCTGCTGCCGCTGCCCATTTGTGCGTGTTTACACAAACTTTTTACTATTTAATATAAATACGATTTAGTATGCTCCTGTTTTTTATACTTTTGAACTCAAGCGATGAGGTACTCTCAAATCTTAATAACCTGTCAATATCTGCCTAATCTTTAATAAGATCGAAAACTTTGCTTCATCAGCTTAATTAGTAATAAGATCGACAATTTTTATTTGATAACTTTTGTAGTAAAGGATGAACCTTATGTTACTTTTGAATGAGTAAAGTAACTTTTAAAGTCAGGTAATTTATTTAATTCATGCATTATAATAATAACACAATTCAAGCCCTTTGTCAATTGTATTTAAAGTATATTATTCTGTAATTTTTAAATTAGAAGACGATGATGACGATGATAAAAAACGTTGCTCTTTTCAAAGGTTAAACTCTTGATAAAGTTAGTGTTTATTTCCAAAACCCTTGCATCTCACACGGTCAATTCTATTTTACATGTTAAAGAACAAGATCATATAATACCTTATTTTAAAGAAGTTAAAAAAAAATCTGTTTGCTTTTACATTAAAAAAAATAGATTGTTTGATCATTTGTTTTTGCAAGTTGTTAAACATTTATTACGAGGTATGTCATTAAACAAATATTACAAAAATAAGGTTGTATTTGTAAAGTTTCTAAATTATATTTTTCTTTATATATTTATATTTGTGTGGTATTTACTATGTGTTTATATGTGTTAAGGTTATATGGGTTTATATTTTATAAGTGTGTAAATATATTTTATATATGAGTGTTTGTATTTTCATGTTTGTGATATAATGTTATTTGTTTATAGTTTGCAAGTAGTTATTATGCTGTTTGCATGGTTTCAAATTGTTGTGACTTGGTTAGTTTACAACAGGAGTGTTGGTTGACCTTGCTAGCCAAGTGGTGTACTTTGCTATTATGTGACAAGACTTTGTTGGGAGGAAGATTGTTGTCCATGCCAGTTAAGTGGTGTTTGTAGTTAGTGTAGTCATAAAAAGTGTTATAAAAATATTGTTGAAAGCATGTGTTTATAAGATATGTTAAAAAGATATATAGTTTTTTAATATCTGTAATTTTTTAAATATTTATAATTTTAAGTAAATTTTATTGAACAGATTTATACTTCATTAAATATTTTTTATACTGTTACTTTTTGAGTAAATTTGTTTAAAATTTATATACTCTATAAATTTGTTTAAAAGATATATACTTCTTTTTTCAAATAGCTCGTCCCGATTTAAACATTTAAGAGTCTTTATTTCCTTCAATAAATATGTTTAACATAGATTTATTGTTTTTTTTTTTAAATTAAGGTATGTGTACAAAGTGTTACATAGGTTTTAGTAACTTTCATTAAATTTTTAGGATTTTTCGTATAGAGAATGTTTTCTCCATAATAATATTTTAATGTTTTATATATTGACCTATTTTCTTTAGAATATTAAATATATAAAAACAACTAAAACAGTTTAATATTTTCAAGTTTCTTCACTTAAAGCAAATTTATGATTGTTTATAGAGATTTTCTATTAATAGTTATGTATTTACTTATTAATTGCAAACCTCGCATTAAATGCGTTTAAAAGTAATGAAAGGGTTTTTTTGACAAACGATTACATTTCACCATTAAATGCTAGCAGTATTTGCTGAGCAGACAGCCCTTATAATTTTTTGAAAATGCTTTATTTATGAGTTCTTATCTGTAAAAATTTGGTAACTTTTAATAATTACTTTTAATTGTTTTTTTGATCAAATACTAATAATATTTTGTCAATAATTATTATTAACTACATTAAATATATAACATTACTCAGTTATCAATTAATCAATTTCATATCAATTTATTTATAACTTTATTTTAAGTTCTTGATAGAAATATGTTATCTTTACACATTGTTATTGTATTTTAAAACATCAGATTAAAATGACTAACAGTAGAGGTAGAATATAATTTGATTATTATATTATACTCTGTTTTATTTGCTTACACTTTAAGATAAGAAAGAAAAGTAAAAGATTCTTGAAATAAAAATGCAAATTTTATTATATTAAGCATCATTTTTACACACTTTTTAACTTTTAGTTATGTCTGATAATTAAATAAGTAAAATTATAAGGCTTCGTTGTAATTAAAGAAACCAGGCTAGGCAAAATGAATTTAATTGTTGCCAAAATGAAAAAGATGAGCTTAGGCTAGCTGAGATAAATTGTCGTTGAAATGAAAGAGATGAGCCTAGGTGAGCTGAAATAAACTGCAGAAGAAACAAAAGATATCAGGATAAGTGTTATAATTCCTTTTTATCTTTTGCTTCCTTCACAGCCAAAATACCTCATCCCAGAAATAATTGCCCTTTCTGTTTTAGGGTTTATGGGCAAATTTTGCATCGCGTTGGAAATTTAAGGCCTGAAGGTTTTCTACGCACGTATTGTCAGTTGAATATATATGATCCTAATGTAGCAGTTTCATTCAGAATGGAGCAACCTGGTAATTATGGTTGTATAAATGAGTTAATGCATCTCTTACAAACTTAAAACAATCAAGAAAACCCATTTGCTTCTGCATTTAAAAACATGGCAGAAGTAGAGGAGAAAAATGATGATGGCACAATTAACTGGAGCATCGTGTTACTTTGTCCCAGTATTATAGTTATTGGTTTGCTGTTAGACAAACTTTTAGTTCTAAATACAAACTAATTAGTCTTATATAATTAATGTTTAATTTAATGCTGCTTACTTATTTGTGCGTGTTACTCATTCGTGCCATTTGTTACGCTTGACCATATAATATATCATTTTGACCACGTGATAAGGTATTTTGAAATCTTTATTAACTTTATTATAATCTGTAATATCTGTTGTATCAGTTATAAGATCTTCAATTTTATCTTAGATAATTTGATGCAATCACAAATTCTGTGTCATAAATATGTATGGATTAATCTGCCAATAACTCTAGCATTCTCCAACAAGCTATTTTCTTGGTCCATTTTAAGGTTTGAGTAATTTAAAGTTTACTGTAATGTTATGTTATTTGTTAATTTTGTGGTGTTATTTTTGTGTTGTTTTGAATTGATAGGTTAGATGACTTGGTTTACTTTTACGTCGAGGTCTTTAATTTAAATGATTATTGGGTAGTTTCATTACTGAAACTACTGACTAGATATAATTATTCACTAAATGCTAAAGATTTAGTTTTCAAATAAAAACAAAGGTATATTTTATTGTGATCATTTATTTTTAGTTAATCCAAACTTGCAACAATAAATCTTGAAAGTTTCACAAAAGATAAAAAACCTCACAAAGTAAGTTTCTTATTTGTTATCTGTTTCGTCATTTTTGAGTTTTCAAATAAATAAATAGAGTACATAACAAATTAATGTGTATTAAGTATATTTAATAATAATTTTGTTCCATTTTTAGGTCTAATTCCTTATCCTGTGACTGAAATGTTCTGTATGTTGATTGTATTCAAAAAGCTAAAATGAATCTTGATAATCTTCATACCATTTACTAAAAGATTTATAATAATGATAGGATGTTTTAAATTAAATTGTTTTTATATTTTTGAATGTAAAATTTTTTTTGTAAGTTTATTTTTTTATTATATCTCAAGAAATTTTTGTTTGTTTGTTTCTCAAATAAATTTCTATATTTTTTATCTTTGGAATTATTGTTTTGATATATTGGGTATTTTTGCTCTGTTTTTTTATTTCCGTTATCTTTTTATATGTGAATGGAAACCATTTATACTTTTATCACCTTTTGTACGATCAAGACGGTTTCCATTTCCATTAAGTATCGATCGCACAAACAATAGGTTTAAAAATTTATTTGCCTAATGCCACAGTAAAAACAGCCTAATTGTATGAATTTGTTAAGAGCTTGTTTACGGTAAGGCTTTTATAAAAAATATCAAACAGATAAAGCTAACTTGTTTGAAATAACTTGGTCTCTTGGGCCCATTTTTTAATGTCTAAATTTTCTTTTTAAATAAATGCTTATGAGAGAGTTTTATCATAGTTTCCGAAAACACCTAAAGAAATGTTACGCAACTATCTTGCATATATAAGACATTATAAAAAATTATTATAAAAAAATATAACAAAAAAAAATTAATGTTTGACTACAATATTGTTATGAACTAGATTGATTAACATAGATCTAATTCAGTAAAAAAAACATTTAACTTTTTCTGTTTGTTTTTTATTTAAAATTATCTTATATTAATCTTATATGAATGTAATGTGATAATTTTTTTTTTTTTTTTTAATTCAAAATTCTTTTTTCTTTTAAATTACTTTTTCTTCTTAAATTTCTTCTTTTCTTTGTTGTTTTTTTTTTGAGTTTTGCTTTTAGATATTTTTATGCACATTTCTTTTTTTTAATTTTTTCTTTCCCTTTTATCTAAAAATAATAATGATGTTTTTCATACCTCTTCAATTATCCCAAAAATTATGATTTATCCTATTTATTCAGCCTCTGCTATAAGCCTGAACTTAGCTTTATTTAATAAAACCTATCTGCAGTCAAAATTAAGCTTCAGATAGTTTTTAGTTTTGAGGTAAAATCATTTTTTTATTTTTTAACCAACAACACAGGATATTGTCTTGTCAACTTACTTGAAAAAGTGATTAAAAAAAAAGAGATAATAACCTCACTTTTTTTAATTTTGTTTTCATTTAAAAAACTGTAAAACGTATATAAGCGAGGCTTTATATTTTATATCTTTTGAAGGCCAAAACATATTTTGATGAAATTTAAAACTTTTTTATAATATATATATCAAAACATTATACTTAATAAGCTACATAATAATAATAATGAAGTACTTCAGTGCTAGCACTTACAATATTAGACATTTCTGTAAGTTGACGGTGCTTTTCAGCAGCTTCAGCTTGATGTTTCCTATAATCAAATGTAAAAATTTGAAAATAAATAAAATAAACAACAGTTAACATTGTTTAATATTCAAATTATTTCAAGTATATAGCATAAAGTATAAGAATAACATCAGGTTTAAATGACAATAGCACAAATATATGACTCCAAGGAAAAACAGGCAAAAATACTGAAATTTTAAAAACAACCAATTAAAAAAAGGAGTTAAGGTTTATATTAATTTATATATTTTAATTTCTGAATCACTGTGATTACATACAGATGAATAATCGAGCTGTTCAGTCAGGTAGAAGTGAGTGATTATTATATTAAACTCTGTTTATTTGCTTACACTTTAAGATAAGAAAGAAAACTAAAAGATTCTTGAAATAAAAATGCAAATTTTATTATGTAAAGCATCATTTTTACATACTTCTTAAATGCTTAGTTATGTCTGATAATTAAAGAAGTAAAATTATAAGGCTTCGTTGAAATTAAAGTAACCAGGCTAGGCAAAATAAATTTAATCGTCGCCAAAATGAAAGAGATGAGCTTAGGCTACCTGAGGTAAATTGCTAAATAATAAAGGTGATTCTAAGAACTGATTTAGTCAATATTTGATTAAACAACAACAAGTTCATAATATTTTTTGAAAGGACCATCTTCTCTTTTGAGATGGTATCCATATTTTCCAAAACACTTGATTGATTAAATTTCATGTTGCTTTAATGTACTCAGTATACTTGACATTAACTATCAAAATACGAGGTAATTATTGAAATTAAGTAGTGGAGTAATGTAGGTGAAACTCCATCCTCAGGGCCACAATTTACTCACCAATGATTTTTCAGAGAGACTAATAAAAAAAAGGCTAGAATTGCTCATCAGGGATGCATCACTGTCTATAGTCTACATTACATAAGTCATTATTGCAATAAAACAGAGGTCACTACAAAAAAGCCAAAATTATTCAAACCTCTCCTGAACTTGTGTAATACCAATATTTTTTAGAAAAAAATGTAGATAGAAAAAGAAATAGAGAAAGATAAGTATCTTATCATATTCGATAAGCAAATATAGTTGTAATTATATAGGAAAGAGCTGTGTCAAAATAAAACAATGAAAATTCGGTTCACAAAGAACTAAAATTTATAACAAAGAAATTTCAATTCACAAAAATATAAAAGTGAATTAACTTGAGTATAGTTAACGGAACAACTAGTTACGGTATAAATAGAACTTAACTCCTAAGAAAATAACTTGATAATTCGATTGCAATGTAGGATTTAGCTTATAAAACAATGACCAAAAATTAAAGACTAAAAACAGAGCACTGTGGACTACCTTGATCTTTACCAATATTGCTTACCGGGCCAGAGCTGGAATTGAACCTGATGGTTTTGAGTCAGAACTCCAACCACTGTGTCATGGCTGCTACATATGTAGCTTAGCCATATTACAATATTGACTAGCACGACAAATAGTGAAATGACAGTGAATTGACTATATATTTTAAAGGATAGGTAATTACGATATATCCAATATTTAATTCTAATTGGTTGAAACTGCGCAAACATTTTTTACATCTGCTTATACCAAATTTCAAAAATTTTAACATTAGCATAATCTCTATAGAATATTTAATCACATTATTAAAGTAAATTGCTCAGCTTTACACAAATAAAAATTTGAGAGATTTTGCTCAAATTTTTATTCACATAAAGCTGAACAATTACTCCAAAAACACTAAGAGTAAAAGCAACTGATTTTTTTTATTTATCCAGCCTGTAGAGTGTTTTATTTAAATTCAAATTAAAAGAATTAGGAAAAACCTGACAAAACAATGTTTTATTAAAATTCTAAATAAAATAATTAAAATAAAATGTCCATTAAAATGATAATTTTATTCATAATAGAATAGCCACTGTATGGAGTTGTCTTTCTCCATCTATTGTGCTATCTACATTGTGAAAGTATTCAAAACACGATTAGAAGAATATATTAAAAGCGAACATAAAGTCTTCGGCTGATATAGTGTGCTTATTACACACTCCGGTTTAACATTATAAACATTAAAATTTTTGTAATAAAGTATTTTAATTGTTATTTTGTTAAATTTATTCAGCAAAAAATAGTTTTATGATTAAAATTATTAATTATTTAAAATCTAGATAAAATAATTAAGATAAAAAGGAAAACATGTATGTTTTAATTAACTTCTTAATAAAATTTTACCAATAACCAACGAAAAGCAAATATTTTATTCAAATCCTTAACAAAATAATTAAAATAAAAATGGCAAAAAACGAATGTTTTAATTAAATTCTAAAAGTAAACCTTTTATTTAAACAGTAAACAAATCAATTAACAATAAAAGCGGAAACATAAAAGTTTCATTAATTCTAAATAAAATAATTATAAAATTTTTTGCCGACCTGATGCTGACCTAAAACAGTTTTAGGTGGGCAAATTTTTGCTGATCTCATTTTTCATAATTCTGAGAGCAGCGTATATAAATATTAAACAAAATAAATAAAAAAAAACAACAGAAAGACAAAAGTTTCATATAAAATCTAAATATAATAATCTAAATATTAATAGCCGAATGAATATTATTATTAGTGCGCATAGTTACGCATTGTTATGCCTATTGTTCGTTTTGTTAATTACGGTTCTTCATTATGTAAAATACACTATTTCTTAGTTTTGAAGTTATTTCTAGACTTTTCTAAGTGCAGTTATATATTCCATGTGGTCTTTCAAGTAAAATCAGCAAGCAAATTGGAGCTGATGCACTTATTTTCAAAAAGAATTAATGTTTATTTTTTAAAATAAAAATTTAATTGTTAGTTTGTTATTGCTTATTTTTATTTTTTCTAATTTTTATAGTCTGTTTTTATTTTTTAGAAGAAGTTAGAACTAAAATGTTTGGTAAAATAGTTTTTTTAGTAAAATGTTTCTTTTTTAGTAAACTGTTTCATTTTGTCGTTAGTCTTTTTAGAACATTTCAAGCAAGTATTGTTTTATTTTTTAGAGCAGTTAAGAAGAGCTGATGGTATTTTTAGTAAGTTCAATTCGTTTTGTTATTTATAGATAAAGATTGTTTTTTGCAAAAAGAATTATATATAAAATAAAGTTTTATATTGTATTTAATATGAAAAGTTAAATAAAATAAGATAAGTTATTTGTGTTCATGTAAGCTTATATACATAAGTTTGCATTTATTTTAGTCTATTTTATATTTCTCTATATCTATACTATATGTATATTTTCTCTTAGCAAAAGTTATTCAGAATAGAAAAATAAAAAAAATTCTTCTGGAATTTGTCAAAAGAATGTTGTGTTATGCTTCATTTTAAGGTATCTAATTATGTATTTATTTTTCATTTTTTAGAAGAAGTTAGAACTAAATTGACTGGTAAAATAGTTTTATGAGTACAATGTTTCTTTTTTAAGAAAACTGTTTCAGTTTTGTCATTAGTCTTTTTAAAACATTTTAAGCAAGTATTTGCTTTATTTTTTAGGGCAGTTTAAACAAAATGGTTGCTTTTTTAGTAAGTTTACTTCATTTTCTCATACATAGGCTACGATTTTTTTATATAGAAAGAATAATGAGAATAAAATTTTATTTATGTATTTAATATGAAAAGTTAAATAAAATAAGACTGTTATTTGTAGTCATGTAAATTTATATACATAAATTAGCGTTTATTTCAGTCTATTTTATATTTCTCTATATCTATATGTATATTTTCTCTAAGGAAAAATAATAAGGAATAGAAAAATTTAGAAAATTTGCTCTGGAATTTGTCAGAAGAGTGTTGTGTTATGCTTCAAGGTATCTAAATATATATTCATTAGAAATTTTTAATTTTGTTTTTAAATGGTTTATTCTTTTTCACTACTTTAGATAAATATATACTGACTGACATAACTTCATTTTTATTAACAATGTCGTGCATTGTAGTCTGCATTCTTTGTTACATTTAAAATAATTGATGCTAATAAATGTTGTGTTATAGTTGTTAAAAGTTTGCATATATGTTTGCATGTATATTATGATCAAAGTTAAAATATTTTTGATAAATACGTGTATGTGGTGATACTATTTAGGTATCACCACAGCTTATCTCTATCAGGTGCATTGATTTTCAATTCACATATGATGTTTTTCTTTGTATTTATTCGTTACATTTTTAACTTCAGATTTATGGTGTATTTATTTGCTATAGAAGAACAAATTATTTTGAATTTTTTAAAAATATCTACACCAATCAACATTTAAAGTTCAATGTTGCATATATCATTTTTAAGTAGCTTCTAGGCTTTTTTGATGCTTTTCTTATTCAAGTGGTTTCATAAGCAAGGTCTACAAGCAAATTTGAGATAAAAAGTTTTTTAGCTTTTAAGGAGTATCAATGTTGTTCTCTGTTTAATTTAATTTGTTTAAATAGAGTAGTTTTAGTAAATAAATGTTTGTTTGTTCTTGGTTTTTTACTTATTTGTTTTCAGATTCTTAAGAACTAGGCAACTTAGCGAAACAAGATTTATTTTATTTTTTAGTGCATTAGAAATTTATTTTTTAGTGCATTGGAAAGAGCTAAAGTGCTTTTTAGTCACTTCAAATCATTTCTTTCTTTTTTTAAATAGAAGGGTTAATAATAAAAATATTTAGACAGTCAAACTGTTACTGATTTGAGTAAGTTTAATGTTTTGTTTAGTTTCATATTAGATATATATATTATGTATTTAAAATAAAAAACTGACTGTAATTTTTGACAGGTAAGTTTATATACATAAATGTGCCTATATATCAGAATATTTTATATTTCTCTAAATTTATATGAATATTATCTCAAAGTAAAATTAAGAATAGAAAAAATTTGAATATATATACATACATATATATTACTTTAGACTGACATTGCTTCATTTTTTATACAAGATTCTGCATTTATTATTTTTGTGCATTAAGATTGTGCCTGAAGGCTTTCTTAATTTAGCAAAGAATTTAGAACACAATGCAA